TAGAGTTTGCAAACTGCTTTTTAAAATAGACTTTGAAGCAATTTTGAAGAGGGCGAAAATATTATCTGCTAAAATCATCTGAGTGACATCTGAGTTTTTGGGGGAGGTGTATATTTGTCCAATGAGAACACTGATATGATAATGTGCTGGGTATCGGCTCAGCGAATAGCAAATAAGATCACTGTTACTAAAAATAAATGAATCCTCTGCGTTTACTAGTGATATTTTTAATACCGAGCTTTCGGCCTAAGCGGCCATTATCAAGGTAGAGTACACGTAAGATTTTAAGCAACGCAAAAAACGGAAAGCGCGTACAAAGAAATTCTAAAGATCACTATTCTTCACTAGTTTCTATGTAACTCATTTATTGAAAACGAGCTCAATTTACGTGGTTTTCTTTCTATCCTTACTATCCTTACTAAAGATAAAATGTATTTTCCAATTTTTTTGTATACACGCTCTTCATGAGATGCCATCAATTTCGTGAAGAAATCTTCCCCCAAAACTAAGTGCTTTCTCATTCACAGATAAAATCTGATAACGTCAAGAAGAAAGGGTGTGAAACACTTCAAAATCGATATTTTTATTTGCTTTTCAAATATACTTCCAAAAAAAACTAAATTAGCTAAGTAGGCTCTTAAATCAACTTGCCATAAAAAAGCAGAACATCTGCTTGATTTAATTTGAGAATCTTTTCTTTTTTATCAATCAACCGGAAAGTGCGAGGTTGAAAATGTAGGACTGCTTCCAAGGATTAGTTTCAACTAAAACCATTTTCAATWTTTTCAGAARAACAAAAATATCAACTAAWAATGTCTTATCAAAATTAAGRTTAGCGTACTAAAGTGTCGATGAGATTGGCACTACCCCTCTCACAATTKTTKGRGGGAACAGGGGAGACTGCACCACAAATTCATAACTGCACAATTCTTCTAAACTACCTAGAAAGCTGACTAAACGTTTTTAGAGACGTTAATCGGAATACCCTGGAAAGCTTTCAGTCTTATAAATTAAGCTCTGCTATCCTGGGTACATCCTATGACCGATGCTCTACCAACTGAGCTACAAGGTCGTGGGTTCGAATCCCGGCGAGGTCGGAAATTAATTTTTGCGAATTTATTTCCAAGGATCTTTCTCCCGGAATATCCTCCTTCTGATTAAGCACTTTTCCTTTCCTTTTATAATTCTATATCATGTTTATCATAGTACCATGCGCTTTCCTCAAATTCATAGCTTTATATCCTATCGATCCTATATGAAAAGGCTAAGACCTAAGACCAAATTCTATTGGCCCAGTTTTGGATACAAGTGTGTGCTAGCAGCCGAGTCCTTAGGGCTAGACTTAACTGTACTAATTCACCTTATTGCTATAATATGGCAGACATATTGAATTATGAAGAAAATATGGGATGTCTGGGGGGACCAGGGGGGGACCGTACAATGTATATTAGTGTTGAGCTAATGACTTTCTTTGATAATTTTGAGTTTCAAAATTTGTATCATATGTTTCAAAAAATACAAATGTGTTGTATTAATTGTTGTTTTTTTATAGTGTTCTTTAATCATTATGATACTGATATTGAATCTCATAAGATTCTCTAAACCGTACTGTTATTTAAGCATTAAAAKATATTTTCCRTGTTTCCATTTTCTGTTAGAAACAAGTAAAATTGTTAGGAGAACACGAGAAAAGTTTTAAATAAAACGGCAACAATATATAGCTCTTCATCTCTTGAAAGCTGTGTTTCTGAGCTTTCATAGAGACTTACCTTTTAATTGGCTTATTTCAACCAATCAATACGCGCGTTATATACTGTATATTTTCTAAATAAATCTAGTTWGTCACACATACAGTATATTTCTTTACTGAGATATTCTTAAAGATGGCGGCCGTATTGGTATAAAGGTTTATTTACTATATTGCTTTTCGTTTATCAATTTATTCAATTCGTTTATGTTGATACTAGCTTTGAACAGAACGCGAAACCATTAACAGCCTAATATGCTAAAAATCTCGCAAAACAACCAACTTAAGAAAGAACAATAGAACGTGACGACAGTGGGGTAGTGCGTGGGATGGTTGACGCAGGTTTTTTTCTGAAAGGTTATTATACAAAAAGATTTGCATTGATTAAAAGTAATATAAAAAGCCTGTGGGATAACAGAAAGAAGAGGTTTATCTATTTGATGATAAAATTTAGCAATCATTTCGACCAAATAAGACAAGTAAATTAAAATGTAGTGATTGTAGTCGAATAGAGATATCAAAGACCTTCAAATATTGGCATTACCACCTTGTAATTCATAGTAGTGAAAACTGGTCCGAACGGACGTAGATCGCGGTTAGTTTAAAACACACGGCTGATTGCTCTGCACGCACAGACATTAAGCAGGGAAATAACTATTTTTCTATGCCAATTTTRCTCTTTTTTATTTGTCTGAAATTCTATAATGATACCGTGAGCTGGGTAGAATCGCGACAAAAATATAGGCGTTTRATCGCACACCAGCCCGCAATGCCAAAGATATCGATTTCTTAGCACTTATATCGGACMGTGAAAAAARAAATAATTTTGCCATATTTTCTCTCAGCTGCTTTAATATTTTCCGTATCTGATAGAAGGCAAAATCCTTCATTATTCACACATTTTTCCATAGGAGATAGCTGTGGTTTCCTGGAGGGTGAATATGGCGACTGATGATGAAGTGTGTTGATTTAGATATGCTATCAAAGATATAGTAATTTATAGTATCTTACTAAAAGCCTATCTTTTGTTATTATAGGTAACCTGCACCTTAACTCCTCCTATCATTAATAAACTTCTTTCTAATTTCTGTAAAATACGTCAATTTTACCAAATCAGCACTAAATCAGAATTTTGTACAGTTGCATTGTATTGTGCTTGATCAAACTTCGCAATTAATATTAGCTATAATCACGTCTTTGAATTACCTTTGATATTAATACGACTCAATAAGCTCGGATTCCAKCGCGGAATCCCTGTGCTTACTGGGATCCTTATAAGGTCAGGCTGCAACAAAGGAATAAAAATATGGCTGACATTTAGCTTTTTTCCTTTCTCTGCAATTGCTTAACATGTCCGGAAAAACATTTTTCTTTACGCACTTACAACCTAACCAGGTAAGATTTTAAAAAGATGACGCCGTCCGTGATACGAACTTTAGGAATGGTACTTAACTCTAAAATGCAGATGGATTCCCTGTGGTATGAAACGTCACATAGATTACCGATTCATGTTTTCTGGTAAAATATATTTTGAGTAGCAATTCTATTTAAATAGCGCTCCATGATTTTTTTTTAGATTTTAAAAGCACAATAAATGATGAATAATGCGATAAATGGCTTTCATCTTCACTGACATTTTTGTTTCAAGTAAATTTTATGCAGACACCATGAGTGTAAACAGAAAACAGGAATCATTTTGAACGCGACTTGACTTGTGTCTTTCTAAAGCCCCTTACGTTACAATAGACGCYAATTCAATTATGGCCTCATTACACCAAATAGAAAAGAAGTGAATAATATCGGTAGCAGGAAAAACGTCATCTCCCTTAAGCACTTATACTTAAATGTGGAAGAACTATTATACTGTGACAGGTTTCTTCCGCAACCTCTTCTTATTACACGATATATATCAAGGAATCGTACAGCGCTGATCGATTGATGATTTATTTAATCTCTCAAAAACCGGTAAAACAGAAATTATCGCCCCTCATGAGAGCCCGTTGACTGTAACAAATAGGAAGTCACTGAATTAGAAATGAAAGAATCTAAAGACAAAATAAACCGTGCGCGTASTTGAATTTAGAAATTAAGCCTGGGAGTTATACGTCAACTTAAACACGCATAAATTGAAAAAATTAATACGATATATTTTAAGGATTAGAAGGAATTGAAAAGAAAAAGGAAGTAGCTTTTCATARGTATTTTGTAACTTCAAAAATACGCGAAAACGTTTTTCTATATTTTTGCTATAGGAGAAACTCATAGGTATAGTCGTGTCACAACATACAAMATGCGTGTGAATGAGGGATTTTTGATGAAGGTGCATATGCTATAGCAGCTATAGCCCACCTAAATGCGTCAAAATGATTTTTTGTTGTTGAAAAAAAAACACATGGGTTATACATAGTCCACAAAAATGCGTGAAAATGAGCGATTTGTGATGAAAATACATCGGCTATAGCCCACCAAAATGCTTCAAAATAATTAGGGTTTTTTGATGAAAAATGCGTCAAAATGAGGGGTCAGTTTTGATGAAAATGCATGGGCTATAGCCCAACACAATGCGTAAATATAACAGTGAGGTGTTTTTGAYGAAAATGTATGGGCTATAGCCCACCAAAATGCGTCAGAATGAGGATTTTTTTTATGAAAATGTATGTCTACCGAAATGCGTCAAAATGAGCGGTTTTGATGAAARTGCATGGACTATAGTCCTCGAATTACAACCGTTTWCTATTTTTCTTTGCTAAAACTGGAGTGAGTTGTTTCTACAAAGAAAACACAAAAGAATATTCAGTGCCTACAAATAGAGATGCSAGTTCTTTTAAATCCCATCATGCTTTGCTAGACAAAAATGGCGTCACCACAAGTGAAACAATGTTCAGCGACGCCATTTTGTGCACTAAGCATGATGGAAGTTGTTACACCCGTACTTATTAGAGACCCTAAAATATCTCCCTAAGAGCCGTTTTTACATTTACTTAGTAATTCTATTTTTTTCTTAGAAAAAGAAAAACATGCTAAGGAGGACTGTTGTGGCCCTTGTGTAAGGAAATTAGAAGGAATTCCCGAAAAAATCGTTTTTAAACGATTTAATAAAAAAGATTAATTAGGRGGGAATTAATTAAACTTTATTTGTTATTTTAATCTAAGCTTTATTTACAAGATTTAAGAAAACATGCATTGTTTTATTCTTGAGTTCAAAACTGTACTTAACTCGGGTTACCTGTGCAAAACTTGCTTTCCCAGCCCGCTGCTACAAGTTCTGTGTCATTTCATTGGAAGTTTTTAGGATCCAGTTATTCTACTTTACTATGTCGGAGAAACCCGAGTTCAAGCTCTTCTACTGGCCTGGGATGTTAGGAAGAGGGGAGTTTATGCACCTTCTCTTTCATGAAACAAAAACACCTTACGAAGATGTGTTCAAAGACAAGACATTCGATGAAGCCAAGAAAATGGGCTATGGTAGWGGTCAAAAGCATTTCGCCTTCCCTGTGATTGAACACGGTGATATGGTGTTAAGTCAAACACCTGTGATATGTCGGTATCTGGGRAAGAAACTTGACCACGGTAGATTGTATCCAAAGACGGAGAAAGATCGCCTACAAGCCGAAGTGCTGATGGCTGGAGTGGTCGATGTGGTAGAASAAGGTTGTASWKCATGGCACCCAATCGATTACAACGCAWCTTACGACTCTCAGAAAGAAGAAGCAAAGCCCTTTATTGAGTATTACAAGACAAAGCGACTACCAAGGTGGCTGRATTTCTTTGAAACTACTTTAAAAGAGAATTACTTGGCAAATGGAGAGTTAGTCTTCGTAGGAAAACAACTCTCCTGGGTGGATCTGGCCATATTTCATTTTGTTGATGGGAATTTGGGTGAGTGTCCTGAGTTGTTTGAAAAAGAGAATACGCATCTAAAGAAGTTCCATCAAGCAATAAGAGATAGGCCTAACATCAAACCCTGGTATTATTCTGATGCAAGACCCAAGCGCAGGCACACCATTTTCTGAGACAGTGTAGCGTGACATGYGTGACTGCWACTGGGAATAAACAGGTCAGCCGTAGTATGTTAATTAGACGTTTCACTAGACTGGTGCAGGTAGTCTATGTCTTCACAATGCATGCAAAATCACATCTGTATTCAATAGATAGAAACAGTTTTTTCGCTTATTAGTATTAGTTAAAAACGTGTTTGTGTAAGTATTTTTTTTAAGAAAAAGGAATGAAAGTTGTGGAAAAARCTACCCTACATTTTCAATTCATTTCATAACACTCCTGGATTCTTGACAGAATTACATTATTCTTATATTGTTATTTTTGTAAGTTTGAGCTCATTACAGACTGCATATCGAAAGTAATTAACTTTATTTTTTTCGGTCCGGTATCCTAGTTATTCGCGCGCTGTGATTGGCTAGCGCGCGGTCCGGTTTTTCACGATCTGCCCGGTCCGACGGTATCCTGCAGCTAGGCTGCGAGCAAAGTTGCATAAAATACAAATAAAAAAATAAAAATGTTGTTTACCGGCTATAGGTCAGTCCGTATAGGCAAACACTGCCCGAGGTCTTGACAGTACGGATCGAGCGCAGCCAGTAGATAACATATATGTCTGTTATCGCCCATAAGGACCACGACATAATTTAGTCCCCTGCAACTGCTCGATGAGGACGTTAGAAACTCCTCTAGTCTCCACTAGACATCACCTTTTTTTTCTTTTTAGTCTTTTTAGCTACGTTSAGCCTCGTGTATTAAGAGTAGGCTAGGGAAAATGTATAGAATTCTCTTATAACCAAACCAGATATAGTCCACAAAGTGTACGCAATGAGTACACAATAGCYCTTTTCGCGGCTAGGAAGCAAGATGCGCGAGGAGCCTGTGCGTGGTTTTGCATCAAAGCAAARTCTAAGAGAGGAATCAAAGGAATCTGAAATCCAAAATTTGTTAAARTGAACTAGACGCTCGTGAGGATGCGCAAGGAGCCTGTGGATTTTTATAACAAAGCGATGCAAAATCTGCAAAATATGGTAAAATTGCCAGGGATCCCTGCGTTAGCAAATAGCGTTTAGGATCTCCCTTGTAAGCGAATTGAAACAGGAATAACGGGCCTGGGGAATTGCGTGTAAAGGCTCCACACGAAATGCAAATGAAACACTGAGACTGAAAAGGGTCAGTCTTTGAAGCSTTAATCAGTACTGATGTATAACAACAAGCGTCAAAGAATCTGAAATAGGGAGGCGCTTTGTTGAGGAAGATCCCTGTGACCATTTGATACCGCGGAAAAACCTGTTGCAACCTGTGACAGTTTAGCAATGGATCCGACAAACCATATTCTATGTGAAGGGCCCTAACCATGTTAWCTTTAATCGTCCTGTCCTGGAGAGACTGCGCCTAGTAGGTGATAATGAGACACAAGGTAGCCTTATTAGTGGGTAATGTAGGGACATTGTTTGTTTGATGGCGTATGTACGACGTGTTGTTGGAACCTGTAGTTTTGCACCAAAGCGAGGCAAATTTAATCGGTCAGGTGAAATAYATTTATATCTCAAGAAATTTGCATATTTTAAATAAACAAGACGCTMTTAGAGAGCRAAGTCGGTCWAGCTATTTTGGARAATTGAGAAAGACAGGATAACACTCCTTGTTCGATATCTCTAGYGTTTTGGCGTCGTTGCGACAAGCCGCCAGAAAAGAATATCGCGGTGAGTGAATACACAATTAAAATTGAACTACACATTAATCAATTACTCAATAAAACAATGAAACGAATGAAAGATATTCTATCCCATAACTTACAATTTGCTTTCATATATAATTATATGATAGTCAGAATATTAGATCATAATCTTATCGTGTTTAAAATCTTGTCTCGTTCGCCTATACACGCAATCAAAACTAGCTAGCCCGACTTCGCGMTCTAAGAGCGTATAGTTCACATCTTTTGTACAGACTTGAGATTATTTTTACATTAGCGCCGTGTACACGAACAGCCATATATTGTTATATAAGTCGTACGACAGATCTTTGCCCCCGATCTTATGTTGCACAAGGCTAAGGATTTGTATACGAAATTAAAAATAGGAATTCATCCACCACTGTAAAGAAAGAAGAAGTGCAAAAAAAATCGTTTGCGCTATAAATAACACGATTCATCAGCGAATCGTTAATCAAGTTTATTTATTTTATTTTAAGTTTATTTKACAAGAATTAAGTACATAAATCATACATTGCTTTATTCAAAGACTTTACGTGGGTTACCTGTGGACAAATTGCTTCCACACCTTGCCACG